CAGCCTGGCAGTCAGAGCAAGACCAAGGCCAGTCCCGGGGCAAGGGCGGCCAATGGGCCTCAGCTCTGCCTCTCTCTGTTTCTATTTTTTAAAAAATATTTTTATTGATTTCAGAGAGGAAGGGAGAGGGAGGGAGAGGGAGAGAAAGAGGGAGAGAGGAACAAGAACCCATTGCTCCACCCATTAATGCTCTGATTGGTTAATTCCTGACCAGGAGGGACCGGAAACCCTGGTGTATCAGGTGACGCTCCAACCAACTGAGCAACTGAGCGGCCAGGCCACGTGGACGTCATGTCTTCGTGGGAGAATGGCAGTCACCCTGCCAAGGGGGTGGACACAGGGAGGCGGGTCAGGGTCCCGGTGACCAGTCGCTCAGAGCCCTGGAGCCTGGCCGCCTCCGCCCAGAGGGGCCCCTTCTCCCCTGAAATCACAGAACCCCGCCTGCCCTTGCGGGGAGGACGCAGGCGAAGCTGGGCGCCCGAGTCAGCTTCAGAGGAAGCCGGTGGCTCCTGCTGGCGCCTGCTGCTCGGGGCTCCTTGGGCTTGGGGGCTGGGGGGAGGAGGGGGGACGTGCGCATTCCCAGGGCAGGATGGGAAACCGGGGTCCAGCCCTCCCTCACCCCACAGCCCCGGGCTGGCTTCTCTCCCGTCTGGGCAGATGCACTGCCTTTGTGGACAGCGCACGGGGCCTTGTTTCCTCCCAGGTCCTGGGGCCACCTATCCGTCCGTTCCTCCCTGGAACCACGATCAGGCCGGCCGAGCCCGCGCCCCAGGCCCATGGGGGCCAGGAGGGGGCGTCCTGCGTTCAGAGGGGAGCGTCCATCCCCATGGGGTCTGGCCCGCTCAGCAATTCCCAGGCTCCCCATGGCTGATCCTGGGGGCGCTGCTCCTGGGGGCGGGGAGACCCCTCGTGGACAACGTGTGGGGTGACAGGGCCGGCTGCTCTCCTCTCTCGGCATCTGATTACTTTTTATTTTTAAATTTTGTCTTTTGGGTTTTTGCCCCCATTTTTAAATGGATTTTTATTGTTGATAGTCCTACATATGAGTTCTTTGGTTTATCTCTTCTTCTCCCCGCTCCCCACACACATCGAGGTGCCAGTCTGTTCCGTGCCTGGTCCCCGACTCCAGAATGATGGTGGCGCCCACACACTGGCCTTTCTCTTCCCATTTCCTGCTTTGGGGAGAACCAGCACCCACCAGCACACCATCTTCATTCCCCAGAAGGTTCTGGAAGCCCGGGAACCCCTCCCCCTCCCCCTCCACTGCTCAATCTGCAGGGATCCTGGGCGCAGGGGAGTCCCCACAGTGACCAGACCAACACTTGCTGTGAGAATGCCCTTTATTCAGCTTGTCCACATCCTGGCAGGGCAGGTGCAGCCTGAGCAGCGGGTTCTAGAAGCCAGGAAGGCGGCCCCTGGGGAAGGCTCGCGGCAGGAGGTGTGGCTCACCTCTGCCCGAGGGTCTCGGACACGCGCCTGCCTGACCCTCAGTCCCGGCGCCCAGCCCGGTGTTAGGAAAACCGGCCCCTGACTTCCCTCCCCCACCCCAGCCCCCGCCCGGTGCCTGGCAGAGCGGGCACAGTCTATGGGCACGAGGCTCGGGCACCC